CCACACACACACACACTCCATCCCCCGTAAACACTGTTGGATTAAGATGGGGTTACATAAAATATATGGACCTATGGATCTGTTAAGGGGAGAGGTAGTATTTTTACAATATTAAGCCCCCCCATCCATGAATATGGTGTATCTTCAAGTGTTCTTTGATGTCCCTTGGCAATATTTTGTCTTTTTTTTTTCTCACGTTGGCTTTTGTATATTTCTTGCTAAGTTGATTCTTAAGTATTTTATATTGCTCTTAATAATATATTTTCCATTATATTTTATGATTGGGTTATTGCAAATGTATAGAAAATATATTAATCTTAATTTATTTTGGAACTGGCTACTTTTTGAGTTCTCTTATAATTTCTAATAGTTTTTATTTCCCACCATATTTATTTCAGCCTTATAATAATAATTTATATCCAAGATTCTTCCTTTTGGTATCATTTCATTCTTTTAACAAAGATTTAAGTGTTCACTATGTTCAGGCACTGTGATAAGTGCCTGAAATACTCAAATAATTATTATCCCTGAGGAATTTACATAAGCTGACATCAGATGCTAACCTCTGTTTCTATGTATGCAGAAAGCCTTGTCTAACTTATTCCTTTTTGTTGTGTTTTGTTTGTTTTATAACAGCTTTATTGAGAGATCATTTACATACCATAAAATTTACCCTTTTAAAGTAAAATTCAGTGGTATTTTAATATATTCATAGTTGAACAACCAACACCACTAATTTTAGAATGTTCTCATCTCCCCAAAAAGAAACCCATACCCATTAGCATCACCCCTCCATTCTTACTCTTCCCTCCAGCTAGCCCCTGGCAACCACTAATCTAGTTTCTGTCTCTGTGGATTTGCTTATTCTGGACATTCCACATAAATGGAATCATACAATATAAGGTCTTTTGTGACTGGCTTCTTTCACTAAGCATGTTTCTAAGGTTCATCCAGGTTGAAGCATGCAACAGTAATTCATTCCTTCTGTGGCCAAGTATTATTCCATTGTATGGAAGCAGTGCATTTTGTTTAGCTGTTCATCAGTTGATAGTTGTTTCTCCATTTTAGCTAGTACTGCTGTGGACATTTGTGTACAAGTTTTTGTATGGACATAGGGTCTAATTTCTCTTAGGTATATATTTAGAAGTGAAACTGCTGGGTCATAAGAAGATGTCTAACTTTTTGAGGAACTACCACACTGTTTTCTACAGTGGCTGCACCATGTTACAATTCTACCAGCAATGAATGAAGGTTCCAATTTCTCCACATTCTTTTATCTGTCTTTTTCATTTTAGTCATCCTAGTGGGTGTGTCAATCTTTTTCTTACACATAAATAACACACTTGAACCTATCTAGAATCAATCATAGGTCTCAGGACTCCAAAGAAGCTATTCTAAAAATATTTAGTCTAGGTATATTTATCTCAACAGTCATGGAGGCATTTCTTATATGTGGGTGTCCTGAAATCAACTACCAATACTTCCTAGTTAAATCAAGAAACCAAAATGACTGTAAGATTTTTTTTTTAATGTTTTTATTGATTTCAGAGAGAGGAAGGGGGAGAGAGAGAGAGAGACAGAAGCATCAATGATGAGAGAGAGTCATTGATCAGCTGCCTCCTGTAGGCCCCCCCCTACTGGGGATCAAGTCCCAAACCCGGGCATAGAACCTGACCAGGAATAGAATCATGATCTCTTGGTTCATGGGTCGACACTCAACCATTGAGCCACGTCAGCCAGGCAACTGTTAGGGTTTTTTTTAAGTAAAAGAGAAATTCTCTTATTTTGCCTTCCCTCAAAAGATCTCACTCAAGTTATTTTAAATTAACTTTAGGAATAATTATTAACAATAATAATCTTTGGAGGGCTATAAAGTTTTCAAATGCTTGTATATACATTTTTTATTTAATCTTCATAAAAACCCTTTAAGTAGTTGAATAGGTATTAATATTAGCTCATTGCGCAGAAAAAATAATTGAGGTGCATAAATGTTAAGAACCCTTCAGACTATTCTCTATCCTGCCACCAAGTAATCTATCTAACATAACCCATCCAGCCCTTACATAATCCACCTAACATTTTCAGGTTTGGATTTCTTAAATGGCTCCCCACAGACTATAGGATGGAGTCTATCTTTAAATATCATTCAAGATTCTTCATGATCTGTAGGATAGTTATCTATTATCTTCAGACATATTTTAATCTTCCTCAGGCTTCATTTTCTAACAATACTGATCATTTTTAATTCCAGGGACATACGTATCTTCATGCCCTTGCTCAGGCTCTGTCCTTGGTCACTCACCTCCTCCTCTTCTCCATTCCTACCCCAATCTCACCAATTCAAGTCTCAGTTCGCATGCTAACTCTTCTGGGAAGGCTTTCCTGTCTCTACTGGATACTTTGATAGCCTTTTGCAAATGCACCCAGGTTTCTTGTTAAAGCAGTTATTATTTTCTGGTAAAATTTTCCCATGTCTTGCTTCCCACTAAACTCTACGTTCCCTCAGGGTGAGGGACATATGGCTAATAAGTAGTACAACCAGTACTCAATCCTAGGTTGGTTTAACTCCAAATTCAATGCTTCTTCCATTTGACCACACCATACTGCAAAGTAGACTACATCAGTACTTCCAAACTTCAGACTATGAAAGCAGTTTGTCACCGTACATGAATTTAAAGAAAGTTCAAAGTCTTCTCCACATTCCTTGAAATATTTTATCCCTCAAAGTTCTGTGGAGACAATCTAGAAGCATGGGTTAACAACAGTAGTGTGCTGGGCTGCCCAAGAGCCAGGCTTTCTTTGGGGCCTGCAGCTCCTAAATGACTACTTCCAGGTATATCCATGCCATCCGCTTGCACAATGCCTCAGGAATAGAGAGAGCTATGACATACACCAACAAGTAAGAAGAGCAGGGTAACATCAGCAAACATTTAGAAATTCTACCTACATGCTTGGAGAGAAATTCCTCCCACCTCCTTAAGACAGATGTGAATTAATTTTACACTTGCTGTTAATTTTGAGAACCATCTGATCATCTTACATCCTTTGGTCAATAAAACATTTTCAACTGAAGAGGCAGGGAGAGAGTTAAAAGGGGAAAGCAAATACACATTTGTTGCAAAACCGGAGATCATTAATACTAACAAAGTTCTGAGTGCCTCCTTGTGAAGAAAAGTATTTCTTTCTGAGTAGGTAAAAGGTCAAGGAGTAGGTCCTGTCGTAAACATAATCAGAACAAAAAATTAAGAGAATTCAAAGGAGGGCAATGGGGTACTTCTAACAAAGACAAAAGTGGAAATAAAATATCTTGCCAGGTTTCCTTTGCTAAGGCAGAAAATGCATGAATTGACAAAAGATTCCAAGACTTTCTTTCACTTTCTAGTCCTACAAACATTTAGGAAACTGACAATCGTGGGAAGGAGAAAAGAAACAAGGGGACAAGGTCCAGGCAAGTGAGGTTATGGAAGGAAGAGAAAAGATTAAAATGGGAGCAAGAAGCATACATTTGCAAAGCTAAAAAACGACTGTGAAATAAAAACAGCCCTGCTTTGTTAATTCCAATAATGAAGTATTCAATGGTTGACATCCAGCCATACCAGATACTCTCTAGACTAATTATTTTTATTTGACGTTTTTAAACAGAATAAAGTTGAAAAAGTGGGACAATCTGGCATAAGCAACTATATTATGGGTTATTCTCTAGGCAAATATTGGTGGCATGAAAAACAATTTTTGCAAGCTGAGCTCTTAGAGTCCAATTTCATTTTAGTGGGCATTTGAAAGAAAATTTTAAGAACAAGGTTTTTTTCCTACTATATAGGCAAATTTTTTTTTAAAACCAGCCAAGAGAGCACTGGAGAAGGTCTAAAGGAAAAAAAAACACTCTCATGAATTATTATTAATTTGTAAATTAGTACCCTCTGTATAGTTTGGCAATGTGTATCAAAATGCAAAAATACACATATCCAACTACCCTGCAACTTCCTCCTGTCATTATTCATGCTAAGGTAATCATCGCATTAAATACTTAAAGATGAGCACAAAAGGAAATTTATTAAACCACTGTTTTACTTAAAAAATTTAAATACAACCTGACATTCACCATAGGAGACTAGTAAAATAGATTCTGGTACATCCATTCAAACATGTACTATGTGGTGAATCGAACTGATGGTAGCCCTGGTCAGTGTTACTAAGTGGCTGAGCACCAGCCAGTGCACAGAAGGGTCTCAGGCTCAATTCCCAGTCAAGGGCATGTACGTGGGTTGCAGGTTCGATCCCCTGCCCCAGTTGGGGCAAGTGTAGGAAGCAACCAATTAGTGTGTCTCTTTCACATCCATGTGTTTTTTTTCTCTTTCCCTCTCTCCCCTCTTTCCCTCCCTTCCACTCTCTCTAAAAAATATCAAAAGAAAAAAATATCCTTAGGTGAGAATTAACAACAACAAAAAACTGATGGTAAAAGTCAGAGAAAGACAAGTACCATATGATTTCACTCATAAGTGGAATTCAATGAACAAACTGGACTAACAAGCAAAATAGAGACAGACTCATAGATTGAGAGCAGGCAGAGAGCTCTAGTGGTGTGGGGTGGGGGTAGGGATTGAGCAAAAAAGATAAAAAAGAGAGAGAACTCATGGACATGGACAGCAGTAATTATGGGGTCAGGGGATAGGAGATGGAAGAGGGCATAGAGGGGATAAATGGTGATGGAAAAAATAAAATAAAATAAATAAAAATTTAAAAACTGATGGTAAAGATTTGTATTTATGGCATGGAATATACTGTCAAGAGGAAAAAGCAGGTTATAAAATAAAAGGCAATCTCACACAGGTGTATTCCCACAAGATGGTGGTGGGGCAAGTGGACCATTGCCAGCCTTCCCAGAACTGTCAGCCCTGGCCCTCTCTACCTCAGAAAGGTTGTTGATCATAATGAAAATCCTAGAAATGCAGGTCCTTTGTCAAGACACATCCGTCACATTAGCTGTTTCTCCCCACACACACACAATAAGCAAGTTAGAGATATGCAAAATGTTTGCAGTCCACACTGTGGCTCTAACAGGGTGAAATACATGGCGCTCAAATGTTCCAAATCCTTTTCTTTACTTCAGCCCACTTTGATCAGCTTAGGAGATGTGCAACTGGCATTGTGTGACTCTTGCTGTAACTGTGCCTTGTTGGTCTCAAAATTGAAATCAATAATAAAATCCCAAGATGCCTTTAAGTTTGAAATAATGAAGTAAATTTCTCATTTTGCCTGAAGAAAATAACTCTCTTTTTGGAGAAAGAGTTACTGTTAGAGTACCTTAGTATGATTACTATCTATCAAGAACTAATTGTACATAAAAAGAGATCTGTATATATAGTATAATTTTAAAAACTCAACATGTATTGTATGATCCTAGTTATCTAAAACTGTTCGTATACACAGAGATGTCTGAAACGATGTCAACCATTGTTAACATTTTAGTGAACTCTAACATTTCAGATTTAAAATTTTTCTGTTTTATATGTTTCTGTATATTTTGAATGTTTTAAAAATTAGCATCATTTTTACAATAAGAAAAAAAGCAAATTAAAAACTCAAACACAAAAGATTTCTTTTTAAAAAGAGTTTTGATATTAGGTAGCTTTAAAGACTCACTTTAAATATCCTTTTGAATAGTTCTACATAAGATCTTTTTAATTCAGAATAAAATTACACCAAAATAAATTACAACCTTTTTACATATAAACTTGATCCATAATTATCATCTCCGTGACAAAGAGAAGATGGAGAAAAAAGTGATAAGGGGGTTAGCTTTTCCTCTGAAGTTAAGATTTTAACAGCAATTTACTACAGGTGTTTATATAACTCAAATCTGGAGATTTATACACTGCATTCTTACCAGAATTATAAGGAAACCGAAACAGACATATCTAAAAGACACTCAATACTTGACCATATGATACAAATTTTCAGCTTGTACCACTTCATGCAACACCTGAAATCTATATGTGCTTCCTCTAGCCCCCGGGCCCTCCTGGTAGTATTTTATATAGATATTACTTACCTCTTCAAGCTTCTTCTCAATCTCCTTAAAGACAAGATTTGCCTTAAATCCTTCAACTGCAGCACTGGTTGGAGCAGCCTCAATTTGATGAGTTCTAAAAGAATTGGGGAAAAGACCAATTTCAATCCATGGAGTCATATAGGTACTAGGTTTTTCAACATTTATACGGTAGTAATTTTCCAAAACCCTAAAAACAGAGATGTTGTAACTCTTCCTGAAACAAAATTGTTATTAAACTCATAAAACAAGTTTTACTCCTCATTTTTATCAACAAATATGAGTACTCACTAGGTGCTAGGCACTGTCCTTGAAAAGACAGTAAACCAAAGAACCTCCCCTCATGAAGCTGATACGCTAGTAAGGGAGAGAGTTAATGAACAAGCAAAAAAAATAAACAATATAGTTACCATGAAGAAAATAAGGCAGGTTAAGGGGACATAGAGAAAGCATATTTATTTGTGTTGGATGTTCTAATTTCTTTTCCTTTTTTTTTTTTTTTATCCTCACTCGAGGATATTTTTTCCATTGCTTTTCAGAGATTGGAAGGGAGAGAGAGAGAGAGAGAGAAAAACACTGATGTGAGAGACACATTAATTGGTTGCCTCCCGCACAAGCCCCGACAGAGGTACGTGCTCTTGGCTGGAATCAAACCCAGGACCCTTCAGTGCAAGGGCCACTGCTCTAACCACTGAGCAAAACCGGCTAGGGCTGAGTGTTCTGTTTTAGATAGCCTGGTCAGATAACTTCTCTGAGGAGGTGATACTTAAATTATGTCAATGAGCCAGCCACAGAAAGACTTAGGCGGTGAAGCCAGTTCTACAAAGAACTGGAGGTAGAAACTAGCTTGGCAGTTAAAGGAACTATAAGAAGACCAGTATGGCTGCCAGCTGGGTTGGTAAATGGGTAGGCAGGGAGACTGGTTAAGAGGCTACTGTAGAAGTCCAGGCAAGAGATGATAGTGATTAGAACAGGGCTATAAAGAAGTGGGAATAAGCAGAAGGGTAGACTTGAGATTCATGGTTTACAGGTGATACAATATATGAATTTGTGGACCAAAAAAAGGGATTCTATGAAAAATAACCTCACAGGCCCAGCTGGGCATGGCTCAGCGGTTGAGCGCCGACCCAGGATCCAGGTGATCGGGGTTCAATTCCCGAGCAGGGCACGTGCCTGGGTTGCGGGCTTGATCCCCAATCAGGGGCGTGCAGGAGGCGGCCAATCAATGACTCTCTCATCATTGATGTTTCTATCTCTCTATCCCTCTCCTTTCCTCTCTATGAAATCAATAAAGATATATTAAAATAATAATAATAATAATAACCTCACAGAGTGATCTGATCATACATTCCTAACTGGCAGGTCATGGTGGGTAGTCATGCCTCAGTCATATAACTTTTTAGTAAAAGGTTTATCTTTGCCTTAAATAAGCCCCGTCCATTGTTTCTGTGCATCTAGGTTAATAATCACCCTCAAGAAAGCAGGTAATCTTGCCTTGCTTTCTCCCACCCTCATGTAATCTTCTTTACATTCTCTCCTTAATTTCAGTGCATAAAAGAAACTGTGAAGCTGTCATTCTCCAGAGCATTTGAGATCTTGCTCCCCGGCATATGCCATCAGTGTTGGCTCAAATAAATTCTTATAAAAATTCTCTACAGGTTTGGACATTTCTTACGTTGACAGACTAACAACCTATTGGTTGTTTGATACTTAGGGAACGACTATAGATAAATGGCCTCATGTGGCCGAAAGAACAGTCTTTATAGCCACAAAGGCCTATGTTGAAATCCTAAGGGCTTCTTCCACTCACCAGCTATATGATTATGAGCCAGATATTTCCTCTCTGTGTACCTCTGGTGAGGAGGTAGGTAGGAAGGTAGAGAGTGCCAATGATTTTCCAGAATTAAATAGAATCCAGTGTGTAAAAAATGATAGACATGACTGTTATGGAATGCAGAGCCTCAAGTGCTTGATACAGACAGAAACTTGAGGGGTCTGAGGAAGATGCGGGCACCTTAGGATGTCAGGTAATTCTCTGACATAACGCAAGCATGCTGGTGGTGGCTGGGACAGGGACTGGAACACCACCATTAGGATACAGAAGGAGTCAAGAATGTAGCAGCTGCTCAGTAAGCATTTCTTTTTTTTCTCTCCTTTCCTTTCCATTTTCCTTTCCCTTCCTTTTCTTTTCCCCCTCTCCTTCTTTCTGACTCTTTTTTCTCTCTCCCCATCCACCCTACCCACTTCTCTTTTCCCTTCCCTTTCCTTTTTTCTATTATTTCATAGATATTTAATGAGTGATTACTATGTGCCAAACATTGTTCCAGGTACTAGGAGTATAACAGCAAACAAATCAGGCCCAGTCCCTCTCCTCACTGAGTTTACATTTTTTTCAGTGGCAAAGAAAAGGTAGTAAGCAGACAAAATAATTGCAAGTATTAGGAAGCAAACAAAAAGAGGAAGAACCTACTTTAGGTAGGGCAATCAAGGAATGGCATCTTTGAGCAGATGATTGAAGCTAAGACCCAATTAAAGGAAGAAAAGGAGTTAGCCATTCAAAGAGGAAACTGCCAAGTCCATGAAAAAAGAATCTAGTATGTTAAAAGAAAGTAAAACACGATCAGTGTCACTAGAGCACAGTGAGTGGGGGGAGAGTGACATGAAACTGGAGAACCAGGCAGGGACCAGATCATGCACACCAAAGTAGGAAATCTGGGAAGCCACTGAAATAATTAAACAGGGAAGTGCAACAGTTTGATTTGTGACTATTTTTACAACAGTACGCAGAATGAACTGGGGGGCGGGCGCAAGAACAGAGGTGGGGAGATAGTTAGGCTGCTAGAGTAGTCCACATAAGAAGTGGCGGTGGTCTGGACTACAGTGGAGGCAGTCTGCCAGTGGAGATGGAGAGAAGCGGATTCTGTGGACGGAAAGAGGCCACATGCTAAAACCTGACTAGCTCAGGGAAGGCCTGCATGGCAGCATTACAAACTCAGAGCCCTAAAATAACCACAAAGGATGGTCTGGAATGAAAACTTTTTAACTAAAAGCAGTTTATGGTGGGTAGTCATAGGCTAGGCTAGAATTTTCTCTAACAAAGGTCAATTTTCACCTTAATTAAGCCTGTGTATTGTCTTTGCATCTACAATAACATACCTTTGGAATGTCAATGTAATTTCCTTTTTCTGGACCCCTCAAAGCACAGGTAGGCATCAGAGCAGAGACCACAAATCCCCTCACTGTTATCAAGTTAATTGTTAACTATCCTGCACCCACCTATGTAAGAGAAGTATGCCTATCACTTTACTTTTTATCCAATCCCAGAGGTTTTCCCACTTTGCTTTCTCCCACCTCCCTAATTTATCACCAGTGGATTTCATGTAACCCACTTACATCTTCTCTTTTGATTGTAATGTATAAAATAAAATGCAAAACTGCTATTCTCTGGAGCATTTTCTCAATCTGTAGAGATTTTGCTTCCTGGCAATTGTTGACAGTTTGGCTCAAATAAACTCACAAAAATTCTCTACAGGTTTGAAGGTTTCTTACGCTGACAATTCAAAATAAATTTGGAGATAGAATCCATAGGATGAGGAAGATCTTACGCAAGGATGATTCAAGAATGGTAGTGCCAGTTGTTCACAAGAGGAAGAATGCAGAGGGGACCAAGTTCCATTTTAGGCACATTAAGTATGAGATATTTCTGAGAGAAGAAGGCAGTTGGATATGAGAGTCTGGAGCCCAGAGGAGAGGTCCAGGCTGGAATAAATTGAAGATAATCATCAGCATAATGAAGTATTTAAATCCATGGGAACTGATAAGCTCACCTTGAGAGAAAAACAAGGAAGAAGAGAGCCCAGGACAACACCCTACAGAACTCCATTATTTAGAGGTCTAGGGGAGAAAGGGAAGCAGCAACCTGTGATGCAAGAGGAAAACCAGTAGAGCACGGTGTCAGGCAGGCTGAGTGGGCAGGAAAAATCAGGAGGGAGGAGTACACTGTGTCAAGTACTTGCTGGATTTGGCAACATGGAGAGTACAGGTGACTTTGACAAAAGCAATTTTAAGTTAGTGGTGGAAGGTGGAAAGAAGTCAGATTATAGTGAATTAAAGAGTGACTAGGAGAGGGAGAGTGTGTGGCTCTTTTGGGACATTACTTTTAGGGGAACAATGAAACGGAATGGTCTTTGGAGAGAAGTATAGTAGCAAGAAAAGTTTGTTTTTGTTTTAAGACTAACATTTTGAGCATGTTTGCCTGATAATGGTAATGAACCAGGGAAAAAGGAGATACAAGGAGACAAGTCTCGAGAAGGTGACAGGGGGATGAGATCTAGTGGCCTGTGATAAGAAGAGGAGACTTAAGGGAGAGGATCAGCTGGGTATGGTTCTAGACAGGGTGACAGGTCTTGGGATGGAGAAGAGGGCGGTTAGGTTCAATGACTTCTGAGTTTTCAATAAAGTAATCAGCTGATATGAGGATGCAAGAGTGGGCATGGGAAGTCTGAGACAACGAAAGCAAGCCTACCAGAGGAATCTCATTAAATTCATGAACAGGCCTGGAGCCTAAGCTCCTGCCGTGCTGAAACAGGCGCTGTTCCCGGAGCACGGAGTGCTACTTCACACTTCCATGCCTTTACCCGTGCTGCTCCCGAAGTCTGGAATACTTCTGTCTTAGCAAACTCCTTTTCTGTGCCACCCTACTAAATGTCAGATTCTCAGGAACAGATACCACATCTTCAAAAAAAAAAATCTTTATATCCCCAGTTCTCGGCACATGATATTCAGTAAACAATGACTAAATGAAACAGAAATTACATTGAATTCTCCTCTACCTAAATCCTAATTTTTTCCTGCTCCATTTGGAGCAGAATTATCTGTGGTCACCATCTTCTATGTCAAAAGTTTGAATGAGCGACCTAAAGTCAAGTGGCCATGACTAGTCCTCCACAGGCCAATTTCATTTCATTAATTCAACTGTTCTTCTTTTAATCATCACTGTGCCTTTCTCCAAACTTGCCACATCCTAATTGTACGTGATAAAGTAATAACTGATACTAGTAGCACTTTTCAGTGTACGAAATATCTTGACTCTTTGTG